CCGATGGTATCGATGCCAGCATCGATAGGGGTATCGATGGCATCGATGCCCCCATCGATTTTGGCATCAATGTCAACCTGCTTCTGGTTGTTGTCCGAAGATCCTCTTGTGTTTGTTCTTGGGGTTGGGCCTTTGGACTTTTTCTTGGCTTTTTGGGCTTCAACATTTGGACTTTGGCATTTTCTCTTGATTTTCCACTGGGCTTTGATTTATTTCTTTATTAAATATTTGAAATAATTCATTTGGCTTCATGGGCTTTATTTCTTCATTGAATCAAGGGCTTTTTGTTGAGAGATGGGAGTTTTGAGATTTATTCTTCATTAACCTGCAATTAAAGATAAAAACAATTATTAGTGGTATATTTATTCATATAAAATAGATAATGAGGGTATAAAATTATAATAAAATGTGATTACCAATAGTCATAAACTCCTAACGGTTCTCAATCACAACAAGGAACAATCAATGCAACTAATCATGTACAATAATATCATAGCATATCAGATAATCAAGTCTAAGAATTTGAACCATAAAATTGTTTATAAATAATAAAGTTATATACTTAAAATAATTCCTTTTACAAAATGAGTTCTTTCAAAATAATCTCTTTGTCAAAATAAGTTATTTTCTTATTATAATAATTCTAAAAATAATCTCTTAAAATAATAAATTCATAAATTCTAAAATAATCTTTTTATAAGATAAATTCTCATTAATTCAAAATAATCTATTTTCCCAAAATAATTTCTTTTAAAAAATATTTATCATTCTAAAATGATTTCTTCCACAAGATAATTTCAAAAAAATTATTATAATTATTCTAAAATGATTCTTTTTCCAAGATAATTCCTTTTAAATTATTATAATTTTCCTAAAATGATTCCGCTGTCGAAATAAATTCTTTTAATTTATCATAATTATTTTGAAAATACTCATTATCATATTATTATGATTTATCTAATATTATTCATCAAACAATCCCATGCAGATAATTATTAACTGATCTAAAATTATAGATAATTTATAATAAATACAAAATTCAGATCTGGGCAAGTGGGATATTGCTTACGAGGCCAAGGGGCCTGATGATGAGCGGCGACGCTGCTGCAGATGTGACGTGACGGATCTAAAACGGCGACACGAGGGTTAGCGTGCAGATGTGTGTAGAGCTCGTCGGTGTGCTGTTCGTCGAGATCGGGTAAAGCGAGGAGGGAGCTGCGAGTGGTTTGGAGGTTGAGGTGGCTCAGGCGCGCGGTTTGCGAGGACGAGGGGGTTGCTTATAGCGGGTTGTAGGAGAGGAGCTGGGGTTTGGGTCGGCCGAGCTGGTGTGTGGCGGGTTCGGGGAGTGTAGTGGCGAGTGAATCTAGTTGGCAAGGCGGGCATCGCGCTACGGCCAGTGCAGGGAAGGGAGGCCGAGGCTGAAGAAGCGCGTCTAGATTCGTCGTGGGTCGAGCGAAGCTAGACTGGTGGCGTCGCGCGCTGAGGGCTTGTGGCGATGAGAGGGGTCTCCGAGCTTGGCGCATAGGCGCGAGGCAGGGCCGTGGGGCTCGGGTTAGGGAGGAGTTAGGGAGCTGTCGGAGGGGTGCGCGACAGCTGAGATCGACGCGCTGAGCTGGAGGGCGGTGTGAACTACGGTTCGGAGCACTCGAGGTACGAGCAGGCACGTGGGAGGAAGGACGACGGGTCTGGTGGTGTTGGCCGGAGGCGGAGCTCGCGGAGGAGGGGTGGTGGCGTTCACAGCGAAAGGTGGTGCTGTCGGCGCGGGCCGAGCTGGTGGAGCTCGGGTTCGGGCGTGGGGCTTCGGTGGCCCTTGGTGAGAACGAGGGAGGGAGATGATGCAGGAGAGAGGGAAGAAGAGAGAAGAGGCTCGTGCAGTGAGAGGAGAGCAGAGAGATTAAAACAAAAGAGGGGGAAACACGAGGCAGAGTATTTGCGGGAAAGGGGGAGGGAATTGAGGAAGTGGGGTAGGGGAGAGAGAGGATGAATTATTGGAGAGAGAGACAGACAGAGTGGAGTAGGTAGGATTAGACTGAAAGGGGTATAACAATGTATACAATGCCTGCTACAGGTATATGTAGCAGCTAAATATTAATAATAATACAAGATAATTAATAATACAAATAATAATAATAACAATAATGAATAACCAAACATTATTTTGAAAGTCTTTATCGTAACAATTAAATTTATAATTAGTAAAATCATTAAAATAATTATAAAAACAAACTTTTAAATTATAAAAATTCTAGAAATTTAGGGAAATACAAATACTCTTTTTAAAAATAAAATTTTAATATTTAAATGCCAGAAAAACTATTTAAACCAGTATTAAAAATTTACAGTCATTACAACCCTATAGCCCTTATCCGTTACAAAATGGAAGTGAGCAGATATCTCGATGGATTTCATTGTAGGTTTGCCAAGGTCTAACAAAGGGAATGATTCCATTTGGGTGATTGTTGATTGATTGATAAAGTCAACGTACTTCTTACCAGTTAAGACAACTTATACAGTGGAGACCTATACATGGATATTCATATGCGAGATTGTGAGATTGTATGTAGTTCCAGATACGATTATATCAGATCGTGGCTCAGTTTTCACATCACATTTCTAGAAGAGCTTCTAGAATACTTTCGGCAGCCAGCTAGCTTATAGTATTTGCATATAATTTTATTAAGAAAATTGTTAAAGAAATCAAGTTTGAATATTAAATTTAAAATATTTTAAGTTAAATTTTTATTTAATTACCATCATAGACTTTCAATCCATATGGTTGCGGTCTAGATAATGCATCCTGGAGAATCCTATAATCATTTGCAGACATCTCCTAACCTGCTAAAACATACATGAACAGTTTGTTTGGGATGCAAGCTGCAAGCACATTATGTGTAACACCTTTACAGCCTCGAAATTGTATAATAAGATTAATTGGAAGCATTGCATCAACATAAGTCCCATCTATCAATACCAATGCAATCCTATAATACGTGTATCACACACCTAAGTTTAAATTTACTTTCATTGATTATACATATAAATGTGCTTACAGTGTAGATATACCTTGAAATAAGGGTAGTATAGTGAGTTGTTAACGATCTCTTGCAAAATATCATTAGGGGCTTGTCTCATGCAGCGTCCACGCAGGCAAATAATTGCTTGTAATACCTTGTTGAAATATCTACTGACTGTCTCCCCTGATCTTATAAAATGAGATTTGACAATGCGATTTTTAGATTTATGACCCAAAATGTTCAATGTCATGATAAGTTGTTCTTCCACTGTTACATTCCTTGAGTCTTTTAGCAGCCTATTGTTCTTCATTATACTTCCTAGTTTAACAAAAACACCACTCCACATTCTAATATAATTTACACAACTACCACTAAAACCATTATAAATACATTCTATGTGTTCAATTCTAGCCCTCTCTTGTCTTTTTTTCCTCACTTGGATCACTACGAATTGATTTACGTCTAGCTTGCATTCTCCTTATGAATGTAATTATTATAACAAAAAACGGATAGTGCAGCACCTTGAACCATATTAACAACACTTTGTTCATCGGTACAATCCCCATCACCATCCATCTATAATGTAAAAATCAAATTAAAATAATTAATATACCTCACAAGCATTCATATGCAATGTCAATAATCAAAACTTTTATCAATTAAGAAGAAAATTAGCATTGGACAGTCAATAATCAAAACTTCTAGCAAAAGTTCAGGCATAGGTTCATGCATATAAACTTATGATCATACACTATAATCAAATGGTGGCTGCAAACATGTGAACAAAAATTTTGTGACCCCATGAATGTTTTTTCCCTCTTAAGCATACAACTTTATCACTGCATCATCTTCTAAAAAAGACGTACACAGACAAACAAACCCAAAAGATACAGATAATTTTAGATAATATTTTCAGTTAATTTCAAATAATTTCAGTTAATTTTAGATATTTTAAGAACATGAAATTTTCAGATAATTATAGAAAATGCAAAATTTCATCATAATAATTCTAAATCATACGAATTTTTTAAAATATCAATTCTGAATTGAGATTAAATCATACATTAGATCTGAAGTATAGCAAGATCAAGCAAAAAAACACGAAATTTCCCAATAAAGGCGCTGTCTTTTTAGCAAGATCCAACAAAACAACGAATATGAGGAACTGAGGCTTGATAAATATGAAAATCAAGCACGAAATCAACAATTTAGAACTCCCGCAAGCATCATAGAGAAATCATGGCGTGAAGAGTGAAAAAGTGAGGGAAAGCGGTGGTAACCCTAGCCCTCAACATGTTTTCCCCCAAAAAACCGCAGATTTGACAAGAGTACAGATTTTCGGCGATTTCCTCTCGTTTTCGAAGGAATGGGGGGAAAGACGAAAAGCTGAAGTGTTCCGCGGCTGCAGGGAAGAGGGGGGAGGGGGGAGCGAACCAAAGCAGAGAAAAGAAAACCTAAAACGAGTTTTGTCGAGGTGGCGCGCTTGTCAGAAGGAGGAAAGGGTTTTTCGCGACTCAAAAATACGAACCAAACGGGGCCCTGAGCATAGATATGTTTCCCTATTTGGGGTTTTTTTGTTCAGGAATCCAAGACCTTCGTTTCGTTTTCTTGTGCCTTTTTATCCTCAAAACATGATGTTGGGCATCTGCCCATGTAATGGACATTTTATGATCAGATGGACCACGCTCTAAGGCTGGGTGTGGGCTGCACGCACCTATGTAACCAGTCCTTGGGGTTTCATCTTTATTTCTATAAATAAACTATAAATAAATAAATAGATAAATTAAAAAAAAAACGATGCCTCCTCTCGTGAGACTTCTGGATCCGCCGCATGTACTCAAACTAACAGTTACCGAGGGGCAAGACAGTCATTTTCCCCACACTCCCCTCACCGAACTCTTAAAATGCCCCTTTCTCCTCCTCTCAAATCCTTTTCCATCGAAATTCTCTCCTAAAAAAAAAACACTATGTCGAACTTCGATTTAGAGAGAGGCTCTGGCGACGGAAAGCCGATGGAGTCTAATCCTCCGGGCGGAGAGGGCGTGGACTTCGTGGATCGTGCCGATGATCGTCGTTGCCAACGTCATCGTCTTCGTCGTCGTCATGGGCTTCAACAACTGCCCCTCACACGTTAGCACGGACCGCTTTGGTTCGTCTTGTGTTGCTGGATTCCTTCATAGATTCTCTTTCCAGCCTCTCAGAGAGAATCCCCTCTTTGGCCCTTCGTCATCCACGTGAGTTTTTGTTCTCGCTTAAATTCGGAATTTTTAGTTGATTGGGGAGGAAAACCCTAAGTTTTTAAGAGCAGGCGAACGTTTTAGATTGCTTTGAGTAGAATTGGAGCTGGTAGTCTAAATTTAGAAAATTTGCTAATTTGGGAAACTAAGCAGTGTCAGGTCTTTATTTTCCAGTATGTATAATTTAAGAACCATAAGTAAAATAATTTCTTGCATGTCTTTCATTTTCCTTAGTAAAAAGTTACCTCTTTTGATAGCAGTTTTTTGAACTTTGTGATAAGTTCCATTGCCGGAAAACATAACTAAAGACTTTTTGATTGTTGATTTGCTGAGTTCACTAGGATGTGTCTTTGTGGGCATATAAAAAAAGTAGAATTACCGCACCGAACCGACATAGGGGAAAACCTAATTTGTGAAGAATTTAGAAAATAGCAATGCTAATTTGGTGAAAGTAAATAACTTATGGATGGAATTTTTATGCATTTTCCTTTGTAATTGTTATGTTTTTTTTTTAAAATTTGTGGTGGCTGAAAGATTACCTTGTTGGTGCTTCTGTTGTAAAATTGTGAGTATTTCAACTTTCCATAACACAACTAAATACTGGCTGACTGTTAATGTACATTAATCATCGTGCTGGGATAAGGTCTTCCCCCACAAGAGAGAACTCGCCTAAAGGCAAGCAAAGATAAATAAGCAAGCGAGACTCTTCCCTTACAACAGGTCAAAACACCAATTTTTTGAAAGGAAGCAATCTAAGCATGCCTATACACCTTTGAAGCACGGATTCGCCCCCGGAGGCCACGGTCAAGTTAGGCTCGGACACGGTCAAAGGAGCTCGGACACAGCTTGGATTCGCCGAAGGCCGATTCATTCGGGTTGTGGGTTGCGGCCTTGCGGGTTTGGTTGTTAAAATCCAACCCAAACCGTTCGATTAAAAAACCCATCCCTATTTCTCAAATCTCCCGTTCGATTCGATCCTCAGCTGACTCAAATGAAAGAAAAAAAAAGAAAAAAACCCTAACCCTAATCCTCTCTCTCAATCTCTCAGCTCACTCCCGTTCGATTCGATCACCTCCATTGTTCCGACCCGATCCCGTCGACCGACTCCTCCTTCCTCCGACTCCTCAAGTCCACCCTCCATTCCTCCTCCCTATCCAGCACAACCACCACCAATGTCATCTTCATCTCCTCTGGTTTTTGAGTTCGAGCAGCAACCCAACATTATATTATTATCATAAATCTGATGGAGAAAGTTACTCATTTATACTAAATCGAGATTTTCGTATTACGTTCCTTCTATATATGATAATAATTTTAAAAAATTCTCACCGTATCATCGTATCCTATTTTTTTGGTTTTTACCGTATCCCGTATCCGTATCCGTGCATCGTAGCTATACACAAAAGCCATTCCTAACTTCTCTGACCAAAGATACGATATTAGAGGACAACTGAGAATGGAGAATATTAGTGTGGATTGGTGAGTATGGGCTCAAGCAACTAGAGAATCTGTGACACGATTCCCTTCACGGAGAATGTGTGAAACACGATTATGGTGAAGAGAATATGACAAGATCGCAAAATATGCCAAATTCTAGGGAGATCGAGCTTCTCCGTTAATTTATGGAACTGGACTAGCATTTTCGAATTTGACTCAATGGTGAGTTAATGAGTATAACAAGTACACAACTCCTGCCCTCTTTGGAGGGCTAAGGCCTCAAAAAGCATATTAGAATCCTCTTCAAAGAAAATAGAGAAAGCAAGAGTAGCAACTCACTTCGAATTCCATAAAACTCCACCCCCTACATAAAAACCCTCACGGCTAGATCCATCAATGTTGTGGAATATACTTGTAGGCAAATAGATTAGTAATCTAACTTCTTGGCATGGTTGCTTGATTGGAAACATGATGTGAATCCCGAAGTTTCTCACTTTTGTGGAACTGTGTGAGCCCAATCAACTTAGGCTCAGATCATTGTGTTGCAGACTGATAATTGATTTCCCAAAATCAAAATCTTGGAACTGTTCAACTGATCAATATCATGCTCCATCTTGTATATCCATGCGTATATCACTTGGTTCCTCCTCCACAATTCCATGAATTTCCATCATGTTCTGCTTTGGCCATACTTGAATTGCTCTAACTCATCTTCGAACAGTGGTGAAGGGCTTCTTATGAACATTTATTTCTAGTAACTTTAGCTTCTTCACGCATAACAGATTCTGATATTGCTTGTTAGGGAGATATGCCTTCTTGTGAATATTATATCAAGTACTTAATCAAATTTCCACCGGCTGAAATTAGCCCACACTCCATTTATTGGGCATTACGATACTAGTCTTTGAAGATCCCAATAATCCAAGCTAATCAAAGTTTCTAGTATACAATATCTGACAATAAATTTCTTAGGAATGGAAGAAGGTTTGGTACTATCTACCTAGATTTATTTGTTGATTTGCTTGATGCGCCATTCTTTCTAGTCTTTTTAGTCTTTTTTTTAGTAATTTTGGGACCCTTTGGATTAGGATGGGCCAGTTGTCGAATCGGCTAATATCATTGGAAGGGCAAATATCTGCCTTAGATCGGTTTAAGCTATAATCTAACTTAAGTGTCTGAGGGGCTCCATTGCTTTAGCCTCCTACTTTCCTGTCTAGATCAGTTTCTCGACACTTTTTAATATATTTAAGGTGTTAACATTAGTGAGTTCTAGTCTGTATTAGTTTATTCATTGAGGTCTAGTTTAGTGGTTAATGGGTGGGATCGGGTCATGGACATCTCAAGTTGAAGAAGGTTATGACCTTTTTTTATTTTAAAAAAAATCTAGTTTCCAACAACAATTGAACACTTGACCAAGTACGTTCAATTTATTTGGATAGTCTTCTATGTTATGCGAGATGAGCTTGAGCTTAATGTTGAAAATAACGATAACATATAAAGTAATGCTCTACCTCTTGTTAAGGGTTAATTGAAAAAAACACAAAAAACGTAACATATAACGTAGGTTATTTTGTTTGCTAATTATTTAGATATTTTATAAATACAAACTATTCATAATGACTAATAATGAGAATTATCAAAAATTTCAAACATTGGGGAGGGTCGGAAGAGGTTTAGGATTTAGAAGCCTTCATCTTCGTCGAGAGGGGTAGCTTTAGAAGTTGGATAAGCGTCGGAAGTGGAGTTGAGATTAGGATTTTCTTTGTTGGTGAGAGGAGATTGGGGAGTCGGAGAGACCGAGAGAGAAGCCTTGTCAACAATGGAGATAGAGGACGAGAAGAGCCTTCTTGTCAGCGATAGGATTCGTCTTCGTTGAATGTGTGTGAGAGATAGAAGAGATGGAGAGATTTTCTTCTTTGTCGAGGGCATGAGAGGAGGTTGGGGAGGCAACGAGATGAGGGAGACGCTAGAGATAGGAATAGGGGACTGCTAGGATTTTTCACGCGCATGAAATTAGGATCGGGGATTTGATTGGGAACTTATTTGGCTCAGCGTGATATTGATTTGGACGGTGGAGATATTGCCATACATCCAAATTCGATCACCAATTTAACTCAATTTAACAAGTGTTAAATAATGCTTAAGATAACGCAGATAAAACACATTTTTAGTGTTATTTTCTATGTGAAATGCAACATGGGTATTCTCTCTGAGTTTTATAACACTTTGGCCCCGTTAGGTGTCGAAACTGGGTTATAATGGGTTTCAAAACGGGTTGTTATCTATTTGCTTGAGCTTTGTTAGTATTATTTAAGCAACAAGCTATTCTTACCTAATTCACTCCACCTTCTATTTAAGGCTAAATGACATTTAAATACCTTATAGTTTCACTCTCTTAACACTTATATACCTTCAGTTGTATTTCGTAGCAGTTATCTACTCTGAGTTGGTCAAAATTAACAAGTTAATACCCTATGTATTGCAATTGCAATTTTTTTTAAAAATCTCCTATATAATATTTATATGCTAATATGCTAATGTTATAACTTTCTCTCTAATAAGTTTGTTGAATTTATGTTTAAATCTTTCTAAATTTTATTTTTGAAATACAATTATGATACATTTAAATTAGAATTTGGGTAGGTTTAATAGTAGTTTAATCAATATTAATGGTTAAAAAATTCTAAAATTAAATATGAATATCATATGAAAACTTTCAGAAGAAAATTTTCATACTTGTAAAATATAGGGTATTAATTTGCAAATTTTGACCATCCGAGGGTATATAATTATATAAATGCTACAAAATACAATCGAGAGTATATAAATGCTAAAGGAGTGAAACTATAAGGTATTTAAGTGCTATTTAGCCTTTATTTAACTATGGTCCAATTTGTGCATTTGATTCATGATACATTCTCATTTTGGACTGCGAGAGCTGGCTGATTTGAGAAAGAAGAGCAGTAGTGACTAATGAATTCATGACTTTTAAAAATGAATACAACTATAGTATTTAGCCCCTTTTTAGCAGACTAATTTGCGAGATTCAGAATTTGCTATGGCTTTAGTGCATGGAATTGATGTTACTACGAGAAACACTAACCTGGTCTTGGAGCTGTGGTAGAGGTAACAACAGATTAGGATTAAATCCTTATGATCACTGTTATAAATAGCCCCGAAATAGCGGCGCTAATAGCGTAAGCGGTCTCTTCCTGCTACGCTATCGCCCAATAGCGATGACATATTACGGAATACGTGCTTTTCGTTCGCAAAAATGGCTAATAGTATGCCATAATGGTAAATAGTGAACGATTACATGCGAAATTCGCTTTTTGAATACTATTTAAAAGCGGTTTGAGGTTTATTTTTTTAAAATAAAACCCAACCCTTGACCATTGTATTTCATCGTCTCCTGTGATTTTTAGCATATTCCTGCAACCTCTCATAGCCTCTGGCACCTACCTCAGTACTTCCTCTTACCTCCTTCACCGTGATCTCCTCTTAGGTCTGTCCTTTCATCGCTCAGCTCTTCTTCTCGAAAATGACTCTTTGACTCATCC